CCCCGCCCCTCGGGGGCGGCCCCACCCACCCGGAGCGTGGCCCTTCTTCCCGCAGACCCCTCTCCAGCCCTTCCCGGACGGGCTCTGAAAGTCACCCCCTTTGTCGGTGAGTTTTCATCCTCAATTTCAAACGGTTTGTGTTGGGTAGGATTTTGTTGTTGGCCGTCTTTTTCTGAAATCGAAATATTTCGGAATAATAGAGCTCTGAAAGAAAGGGCGCGCCCATCCCGATGCCGCGGCCGTGGGCTCAGCCGGGGTTCCGGGTTGCGCGTGTTTGCTGGGCCTCCCGGGGCTGGAGGGAAGGATTCTAGGGGAGAATGAGGCACGTCCCTGTCCTGAAAGAACGTGAGCCCAGACAGGCCCGCAAGCCAGGGTAGCTACAGCAGGATGTGTACCTCAAATTACTGTGAGGCCGGCTGGGGCTCTCACAATGGGATCCCCAGCCAGGGCTCGGGACTTCGGTAGACCTTGATCTGAATTCCAGTCGGCCCTTCAGAGCTGTGGGGTCCTGGCTATGTTACTTTACCTCCGTAAACCTCAGTTTCCCCGTCTGTAAACTGGGGATGATTGTAACTCTACCTCATAAGGTTGATGAGAAAGTCAGGTGAGACCATAGGAACAAAGCACTTACAAGAGGCTTTTGTATGAAGTCAGCTCTCAGTTTTAACTGACTGCTAAGGATAGCTAATAACTAACATCAAATACTGAATAATAGTGGCTAATTGCCAAGGTTGATTGAGCACTTATGAACAGGCACAGTTCTGTGCTTTATACATACTACCTCATTTAATTCTTATCATAATATTAGGCAGGAGCTATTATTCCCCGTTTTACAGGTGATGGGAGGAAAGTACAGATTTCATCCAGGATACACAGCTCCTAAGTGGAGAGCTGGGTTCGAACCCAGGCAATCTGTGATTTTAATCACTGCAGGGATATTTCAGGAGCACAGAGTTCAACAAATTGGTGCTACTTCTTTTTAGCAGATTTTTTTTATTAAGATAAAATTCATGTAACATGTAGTACACCATTTTAGCCATTGTAAAGTGTACAGCTCAATAGGTTTTCGTATGTTAACAGTGCTATGCAGCCATCACCATTAATTCCAGAACATTTCTATCACTCCCAACAGAAACCCCAACCCCATTAGCAGGCATCCCCTTTCTCCCCTTTCCCTCTCCCCTAGCAGCCCTAATCTACTTCCTGTCTATGGATTTGCCTATTCTGGACATTTCATACAAATGGAATCATACAAGATGTGGCCTTTTGTGTCTAGCTTCTGTCCTTTAGCATAATGTTTTCAAGGTTCTTCCATGTCATAGTGTGTATCAGTACTTCATTACTCTTCGTGGCTAAGTAGTATTTCATTGTATGGATAGACCACATTTTGTTTATTCATTCATTTGTTAATGGACATTTTGGTTGTTTCCACCCTTTGGCTATGAATAAGGCTGCTATGAACATGCATGTACAAGGTTTTATGTGAGCAAACGTTTTCAGTTATCTTGGGTATATGCCTAGGAGTGGCATGCTATTATTATTTTAATTACTATTGCACAAATAGAGACATGAACCTGAGGAGTGTTGGATCTTGGGTGAGAATCCAGGTTTCCAGTTGCCGTGTTGCTCTTTCTGCTCATCTTCACTGTTAGTTTAGTAATATACTGAAAGTTGGCAATGGAAGGTAAGGAAATTTTAAAAAGTTGTGATACACCAGTAGTAACTTTGTTAAAGTGTTGACACAAAGTTTGAGAAGCTTCTCCTCAAGAGTGAAATTTGAGCTTTGAACACAAAGCAGTATTTTATTTTATTTATTAAATAAATATTATGTACACAGCAGCTTGCCAGGTGCTATGAAGGAATATTAAGGATGTGAGATCCCAACCTCACACCATCATGAAACTCCAGGAGGAGTTTGCTGAAAAGCAGAACTGTGAAACTTGTAGAAAATAATGCGGGGAAATATCTTCATGACTTGGGGCTAAGGTGGGATTTCTGAAATAAAACACAATGAGCACAAACCATAAAGGAAAAAGATTGATAAATTTGTTTACATAAAAATTAAGACATTCAGTTCACCAAAAGTGCTATGAAGACACAAACCATACTGAGAACTAATGTCTAGACTGCATAAAGAATTCTTATAATTCTGAGAGAAAAAGAAGACAACATAGGAGAAAAAAGGGGCAAAAAATAGGAAGAGACATTTCATAGATTAGACAACACAAACACCACATAAACATCAAAAGAATTTCAACCTTATTATTAATCAAGGAAATGTAAATTAAAACCATAATGAGAAACTATCTCACAGCCGCCCTGTTGGCAGGAGGTGAATCGTCAGAGTTCCCAGCCAGTGATCGTCAGGAGGCCCGTGAACTGCTGCTGCGGGGTGTGCAGATGGGTTCTGCCACTTTGGAAAGGTGGCAGTGTCTGGTTGAACACATGCAGCCCAGCAGTTTGACCATGAGGCATGTCACTTCAAGAACTCTTACACAGGTGCCCAGAATACGTGGATAAGAATGTTCATCGCGGCATTGTTCCTAACTGTATAATAAAAACCAACAGAAACAACCTGCACGCCCCTCAGCAGTAGGGTGGGTGTGTGAGCTGTGGTGTGTTTATACCGTGACATACTGCACAGCAGTGGAGGAGTATGTGCTGCAGCTGCAGGATCACGGAGGCGTCTCGAAGATGATGTTGAGTGAAAGAAACTCATCACCAAAGAATACATGCAGTGCGATTCTTTTATATAAAGTTCAAAACCAGGCAAAACTAAACAGTACCATTCTTGTTTCAGAATACGTGCTTGGGGTGTACAACTATTTTTTTTAAAGCCAGGTAACGATTACCTCAGAATTTAGGAGAGTGGCCACCTCCGAGGTGGAGGAGGGGACGTGATCAGAGAAGCAGCATGTGGGGCTTCTAAGACGCTGGTTTTGTTAAGGAGGCTGGTGGCTTAGGTGGCTGTTTTTTATTATTTTTTGAACGGTGGTGCATAATAGGTTTTACACACTTTGTGTATATTTTTCAAAATTTTTTTAATTACAGAAAAATTAGTTTTAGATACACTTCCTGCCATTGAGAGTCCTATGCTGTAGTTGGAGAACCAAGATATAAACAAGTTAAACATTTCAATAGACTCTAGAGCAGTGTGTGGTAAGTGCCACATGGGTAAGAGAGTTGGAGAGGAACTCAGAGGCGGGGTCAGTTCCATGGCCTGGAAAGTGAAGGGAAGCTTTTCCCCAGGGCTGACCTGTTGCTGGGACTGGTCAGTAAGGGGTCTTGGAAGGACAGATAGGATTTGGACTACTGAGTGCAAGACAGATTCAGACTCTGTCTGAAAAAAAGTAAGATTTCTGTGAAAAAAATGTTTTCAGTGGAAACATCCATAGCCGTGGAGCTTACTGAAAAGTTGGATGACACTAGCTGTTGATGAAGCTGGTGAGGAGGACCTCAGGTCTACCCCATTCAGTTGAAGAGCATAGGAATCTCTGAGGAGACTTTCTGGCTCCTGAACACATGTGATGCTTTTGGCTTAAGTGATGTTGCGGGATTTTCAGCTTGTCTCCTTTCTGTCCTAAAAGCCAGATTAACTCGCAGTTCACTTGTCCATCTGTCCATCCATCTTTATTTCTTGTGGCTGCTGTAACAATTACCACAAATGGTTTAAAACATTTAAAACAACACAAATTAATTATCTCACAGTTCTGGAGGTTAGAAACCTAAACTCATTCTCACTGGGCTGAAGTCAAGGCATCAAGCAAGGCTGCTTTCCTCTGGAGGCTCCAGGGAAGAATCCTTTTCCTTGCCTTTGCCAGCTTCGAGAGGCCACTCACAGTCCTCTCTTGGGCCCCTCTCTCCATCTTCAAATCTAGCAGCGTAGCGCCTCAAGTTGCGCTCTCTCTGACCTCTGCTTCTGTGGTCACATCATCTCTTTGATCATCTGTCCCCTCTTAGAAGGGCACATGATTACACTGGGTCCACCTGGATGATCCAGGATGATCTCCCCATCTCAGGGTCCTTAACTTAATCACATCTACAAAGTCCCTTTGGCCACGTAAGATAACATATTTGCAGGGTCTGGGGATTAGGACGTAGTCATCTCTGGAGGCTGTTATTCAGCGACCACACTGTCGTTTGGTGCTGCTTTGATTGTCTTTTTTCCTGTCATACTTGCTTTATTTTCTTTAGAAACCTTTTGGCCATTTGTTTTGTGTTCTTGTACCATCCACCCTGGGTCTCATTCATTTGTATAACTTGGTGATGCCTGTGTTTCAACCAGGACTTTCTTCCCAGAACTCTTGAGTCGTGAAGGTTTTTCTACTTGATTTTATTGCCCTTCACACTGCTAAACCGAGTCAGCTAAACTGTGAGTCAGGATAGTGTTACAGGCCACAGCAGTGGTGCTTTGAAAGGTGACTTTGCTCCTTGCAGTTTTGACCATAATTTTCCCATGACACTTTTGTAATTGTAATGATTTCCTTATATCCTAGTGTTTGATGGATATAGCCCTGATGAATATTGCTCTGTAGAAGTAGAAAATGCCTAAAAGACAATAGGGAATCGCTCTTTTTTTCATAGTGTGGGGTGGTTCTGATTTTGTTTTGTTCACTGATGTCTTCGTTTTCTGTAGAGACAAGAAAATAAGGCTCTAAAAATTTTTGTAAATTTTAATTTTTTAGTTTTCCAACCTTATTGAGGTATAATTGACAGATAAAATTGTATATATTTAAGGTGTAAACCATGATGATTTGATATATGTATACACTGTGAATTGATCACCACAGATAAGTTATTTAATGGATCTATCATCTCCTATAGTTACCCTTTTTTTAAAAAAATTTTTATTTTGTCAATATACAATGTAGTTGATTATTATGGCCCATCACCGAAACCTCCCTCCCCCCCCCCCCCCCCCCCCCCCCCCCCCCCCCCCCCCCCCC